AAAGCAGAGATCTTGTAACCAAAAGGATCATGAAATTTTGCATGAATGAAAAGCGGAGCATATGAGGTCTTACAGAATATCTTAGTTCTTAATCGGCCATGTTGTAACACGATGTCATATTGAGAAAGTGTACGTTGGTGGAGCTTTGTTGTTCCACCTGCAACGAGAGGCCATAAGCATTATCATTGAAAGCCTCGATGAACGCTGACAAGTTTGGTTTTCTTCTCCAAATAATCAACACATCATCTATGTATCTAGCATACAACCTAAGTCATTGGTTATGCCAGGTAAGACACACCGCTTGAGTCGCCTGACCACCAACTCACAAAGAGTTCTTGAGATGGGACTACCCATGGGTACCCCTCTACTTTGAAGGAAAGTATCTCCTTCAAATACAAAAAAGGCCGAGTGACATATAAGATGTGCTCTGCCTTTTTCCAACTCTAAGATGTTGGAAATATGTCTAGAAGAGTTGTTGATGTTATAAATGAGGAAGTCCCATAATTCACAAAAACATGGTTCAATACAAATGGAAGGGAACATGAACTCAAAATCACATACAGTAAAGTAGATGCCCTCCAAGTTGCCAAGGGCATTTAATCTGTGAATCAACTCCACTGGATTGAACACAGTGTATGCATATTCTTCCATGTTGCTGCTTATAAAAGAGTTGAGCATATGCTCCATAAGAATAGATGAAAATCTCGATTTGTCGACAATCAGGCATAGTTGTTTACCAGTTTTATGGAGTTTGGCGAAAGCGAACAAGCATAGAGAAATTGGCACTGAGACTGTTGCCCTAGTTACTTTGAGTATTCCAGCTAATGGGGAATTAGCTATATGCTTTACAAACATTCCAAAGCATAGAAACCGGATGATGACCATTAAAGACGGAAAAAGCATTCGTTTATAAGATAATTAATGCTGGTTATAGGCAATTGCTTATTTATTGAGAGAGAGAATGAATGAATGTTTGAAATAGAATAATTTTTTGTAAAATTACATGTTACTCTACTCAGATTTTTTCTAATTTTTGAGATTTACATTTTACATAACTGCAAATTTACATAAGTTACATGTTATGTAATTTGGGGTATTATTGTGCATAGTTTTGAAAAAAAAAAGAAAAAAAAAGGCCATTATTTTTTTGTTCTTCATTAACACATCCTACATAAGCGATGTACAAAAGTATATACTGTATTTTAATCAAAAACTTCGTTTTTGTTTAAGTTAACTGTTTAAGTTTTTGTTTAAGTTAACTGTTGGCGTGACATCTGAACCAAGTATTTAATATACTGTATTTATTAAATTTATCCCTTAATAAATTTCCTGAACTTTATAAAATATTAATAAGCTGGAAAAAAATCAATAATGGTCTTGTAATCAAAATTATTAAATGAAAAAAGATAAATAGTACCATTTAAAATATTTCAAAAGTTTCATCAAGGTTAGATTATTAAATGTATTACAGATTTTTCCCCCCAAATTCTTAATACTGCATAATTAATATAGCTATTTTAAAATGATAATTGATATTGCTGTACTATATGTTATATTTAGGGGTTAGTTTGATCCCTTGTCATTCTGCAATGCTCTCTTCCCTGTTGCATTTTATAGTAATTCTGCACATAAACAATCAATATTTGTTTTTAAAATTAATCTGCACTATCAATAAAAAAAGTAAATGTCTGTAATTGTCTGAACATTAAAAAAAAAAAAAAAAACAAAGAGATAACAGTTTATAAGGTCTGATTTTGATTGATCTTAAAATACAATCTTATATAATATTACAGTAGAGCATTGATTATCCGACCTCCGATCAACCGTCACATCGGTTAACCGACTGCGTTCTAGTCGGCAAATTCAAATGTCCGCTGGTGATACGGCGCTTTAATATTTGGCTACATCTTGGCTACTTTAATATTATTTTCGTTAAATTTTTGGTGTTTTAGCTGGCAACATTGGCTCGACCATGAAAGGGATTCCAGTATTTAAACGAGACTTAATTTTCTAATTATGAGTGGTTGTTTGCTTTGTGAGCAATAAAATAATTTAAAAATAATTTTTAACTATACAATAGCGATGATTATTACTTAAAATAAAATTTTGTTAGGCTTAACATCGATGAAAATTCAACGCAAAGTAGGTTAATAGCGATATACTAATATATTAATTACATGGGATATACTAATATACTATACTAATAATGTATTTTACATACTTTTCAGTTATCCGATCAACCCCAGTCCCCAATTGAGTCGGATAATCGATGTTCTACTGTATTTATTAAATCTAAAATTATAAAAAAGTGCAAAAATAAAAATTAGCTCATTTGATGCTTATGCAAAGTTTAAAAGAACTGCATAAGAACTTCATTTTTAGTAACAAAAAAAAATTGATAAATAGCACTTGTGTATCTTTTACATTTCTTTTACTTCCAAATTAAGTCAACATTTCACTATAATAGTTTTAATATTCTTATCATCAATAGTGCATCTTTATATAAATTGAATGAGAAAAACAATACAATTTTTGAAAAATCGGAAGAACTATATGTATTAAACAAATAACTCAAGGCAAACTACATTAATGATGTGAAACAATACATATAGGAAAACAAGCAATGAAGATGTGCTTGGTTTTGCTGCTTGACCTTCATTGAATACTGTAGAAGAATCTTGTTTATGAGAAAGAGTGCCCGGTATGGTTGTGTTTACAATTAGATTAAAAAGTAAGGATTAGCAGAACAATAAAGTAATAAATCAGTACAGTGCAAAATAAAGAAAGAGACAGAATAAATGAATGAATGTTTGAAATAGAATAATTCTTTGTAAAATTACACGTTACTCTACTCAGATTTTTTCCAATTTTTGAAATTTACATTTTACACAATTGCAAATTTACGTAAGTCACGTATTATGTAACTCAGGATATTACTGTATTCTTTTCTTCTATAAACTCAAGGATCCATGTGAACACATTTGCAGATACAAAGAAATCTGCAGATCACACATTGCTGAGAAATCTGATATCTGAATTATCTCAAACACCAGGATATGAAAATTTCTATTGTTCAGCATTACACACTGTGCAAAACTTTCAGTATTTTCAGTTGATGCTTTCAACGATATAAGAAAGAAAACAGTTAAGTATCTCACAACGGATATATTAATGGGAAAAGGCAATGCAACACTTGGACATAAAAAATACACACATAAATAAATAAGAAATAAATAAGAAATAAATAAACACATCTAACATTACTGTTCAAGAGGGTATATGTAACAACACAAATTTAGAACTAAATAATATAATCAAATAATGACTTTCAGAAAATCCAGTGTAATGTTAATGTTTAGCCTCTGGCCCAAAATTCCCAACAAACTTGCATTTGCAAAATGCTGTTTGTGGGTCCTATCAAATTTAGAACATTCATACAGTACGTGTTTCATACTTAAGATACAGTTACAGTATACTGCTGCCATACCGACTGCTCTCCACTTATCAGAAGGTATTGACGAGTCAGCCAAGATTGCCCAATCCAAGTATGTCCATAATAATATATAAAAATCATTTACATATTTTTTTGTAAATAAGTAAGAATGAGATACTTAATGAATGTTTGCTGATTTTTCATATTTCTCATCATCAAACAATTCAATTACTTCCACATGTAAAGTTGATAGCTTCAAAATTATTTCCATATTTGGAAGAATTATAATCATCAATATCAATCACCCATTTTTATATCAACTCTTTACAGTTTGAATATATATCTTTTCAAGCATAATTTATTTCATGTTAAAGCTAGTTGAGGTTATAAATCATCCAAATTTGAAAACATTAATAGAAATAAATGACTCTCTACATAAATTAGTAAAAACGAAGTCAAATATTGGAAAAAAAATGAAAAAATTTAAGTTCTTAATTTAATTCTTCTTTAAAATGTTTATAATTGTAAACAGATACTTGTATTAAATTTAATTATTAAAATTTAATAAACATAAAGATGTTTTTATCCTGTTACAATACTTTATTTTTGTTTACTAATTACATCTGGTATTTTAAAAAAGACTTACATATAATGAACATTTTGTTTAACTTATAAAACATTTGATTTGGTTATGAAAAAATGGCAAATCATACACTTCATGCTTATAAGGAAAGCTTCCTTTCATAAACAAATATTAACCTCACATTGCTAAAAGGTAACTTGTTAATCCCATAGAATTTTTATACTTTTTTTTTACTTCGTGTTTATTGAAGTGACATATTAAGATTATTCGAAGGGGACGAGTGGTAAAAAGGTAAAAACGACAAAAGTTTTCTTTATTAAAAATACAAAAATATATTAATTTAAAACGATAGGATAATAAGTATCAGTAATATGCAAGTAAATATATCTACTTATTTATTTAATTTAATAAAATGTTTTTTTTTTAACCAATGTTAAATTTTATAAGTAATATATTCAAGTCATACTACTGTGTCACCTGTATCACTTTTCTATTGAATCTTTCATTTGTTATATTGAAGATTACACAAAAGATAAACAGATTATTGATATTACAATTATGACTCAAAAAAAATTGATGCAACTAAACATTATATTAGACTGAAATTTTGTCAGTATTAAGAATGTTATTTGCCCTTGAAATTTCAAATACCAAAAGCTATTCAATATAAACAATTTGCTTAACAGGTGCATTAAGATGTGCATTTTTAACAAACCTAAACATTGACTCAGATTTATTGAATAATTTAGATATAAAAATTCAATTTTTTAATTGATACAGATCTGTGCCATTTATAAATTGTGCGCTTTCCTGTTAAATTATATACAAAAGCGTGCCTATTCTGTGTCTGTAATTGAAAACAAATTGAAAATAAGGAAAATTTTCACATGCTTTAGTGTATTTTTTGTTCTAGTGACTGATTAATCACAGAGAGCATTTTCGAAAAAGCATGAATGTCTTGTTTTCAATCTGAAAACCGCTTACCTCTGCCTTTTCCCCTTCGTTTCGGTGGCATGATCAATCCTCCTTATTTATTCTCAAAATATGTGAAATTGTTTCCGATATTGAAATCTAAACGACACAACATTGAAATCAAAACTAAACCAATGATTGGCTGCTCTCGAACGGATTACATAAAACTCACAAAAATAATCAGTAGATCTATATTCACGTGATCATCTTTCCCCCTAAACGTTGCCAAATTCTTTTCCTTAAAAATTGTTAAAGCATTCCTCATACAGTAAGATTTTATTTCTTTTTTTCTATTCCATAAAGTCTTTATTTTTATTGATTTACGTATGAGGATTATAATCGTGCATTAATTTTTGTAGTATAATAGTAAAAATATATATACATATATTTTTACTATTGATATTTCCATTCTCGGTCCCGCTAGTGGCCTATCGGTTCCATTCCTGAATACTGGGAGTGCGGTCGTGGGATTGAGCCAGGCCAGGACGGACTGGCCACGTGGAGTTTTCCGGGTTTTCTCCACGTCTGTAACGCCTGAACTAGGGGCCAGTTATCCTTAAACAGATCTCCCGTAAGGCACATTACCCAAGTATTGCGTTGCCATAACTTAACTGAACAAACAAACACTTTGCGGGTACTAAGAGGCTCCTTTTTGAATTCATCGCTGATTGAACCAGGTCCACAGTGGTTTTGACAAATGGTGGGGAGGGAGCCAGACATATCGTGAAGAGTTGACTCCGTCGCCTGGATGGCCGAGGTATTAAAGTCGTCCAAAGCCTTCAGTGCCTTGAATTCGATTGAGGTCCCCAGAGCAGTAAGCTGTAGGGGATCGGAAAATCTCACAAATTTTTTGTTAGTGGTCTGTCGATAGGTGCTGAGGACTCAATTCCTCAACACCTTGCCACTATATTGTGGGCATAACCTAATGGGGATGGGCTAATAAAAAGACGCTCTTGGTATCGCTCTTCATCAATAAAAGAACAGATAGCATAACCTCCGAATATTTTCTGGGTTTGTGACCTGCCCAAATTTGATCCTGGTCTCCGGACGGTTAACATCCTTGTCTATTTGGCTGGCAAAAAGCTTAATGGTTCAATTTTCATAAATAAACCTGTATAAACACACAGGTTTATTTATGAAAACCTGTATGTTTAAACAATAAATTATTTAATTATGTATATTTAAACAATAAATTATCAAATATATTCAGAATTTAACATGAAAGTCTTTGGGTTATCGGTGGGCCAGTTGTCTGTCATTAGACTAGTGATTACAATATATACATAAAAAAATAAATGGGATCGGTTGCAGTATATGGGATGGTTTGTCGATTCGCGCAGTTGCCACGCGTGTTGGGCACGACGTGAGTACCATCCAGCGATGGACGCAGAAACACGCAGAAACATTTGCAAACACGCCGAACAGGGAGCATAGACCGGCAGGATCGCTGAACGGCCCATAGAGACCCATTTGCCACAGCACGTGACATCCGAACCCGTTAAAGACGTTAACGGGTGCATCTGTGTCCAAACAATTCGCAATAAATTACATGAAGTCGGGCTGCACGTCTGGAATAGTCTCATCAGGTATTGTTTACGGATGAATTCCGCTTCTATGTGTGGAGGAATGACGGCTGTGGTGGTATCCCGGGAAACGCTATGCGTCAGCCCTTATCGCCGAGCGTCATACAGGCCCCACACCGGGCATTATGATTTGGGCAGGCATCAGGCCCGCCAGTGGCCAAACGGTCTTGTCTTCGTACTCTGAACACTGGGAGTTCGGTCGTGGGTTCGCGCCTCGCTCGGACGGACTGGCCACGTGGATTTTCCGGATTTTCTCCACGTCTGTAACGCCTAAATAGGGGCCAGTTTTCCTTAAAAAGACCTCTCGGAAGGCATCACCCCCTAGGCAGATCGCCCAAGGTTGCGTTGCCATAATTAAACAAACAAATGTGAGGCTCTGGACAGGTCCGAACCCTCACTAAAATTCGCGTTAAAATAATTGTTTTAGAGAAAAAATATATAGTAGTTAGAAATAGATTTTTATTTTATGAAAATGTGACGCTAACTTTTAAACAATAGAAGAATGTAAGTCCGTCGACCATTTCCGGTTGGAGATCGAATTAAACTTCGATTTTGACCTCTCCCGCGCCCCGAAAGGATTCGAATTGTCATCAGGTGACGAGGAGAGACCAATCGGAAAGGGGAATCTGAGAGAAAACGGATAAAACCCCGGAAATTCAAGGACGCGACTGCTTCTTTCCCCGAAAGTTCCAAGTGACGGACCTGTTGGTATGTGTGTCTCGCACCCATCTTCATCTCCATCTCCCGACCTCGGATCGACATCTTTCCATCAACGGAAGTCGACCGCATCGTCCGGAGTCGTCGAGACGTGATGGAATGGTTCATTCGCGAACAAGGGACACTCCTTCAAAAGGAGACTATCTTGGAAAGGAGAGGAAGACCCAGAGGCCGCAGCCGCCGCAGAACTTCCAATATCGCGGAAATCTTGTAAGCTTCTTTCGTGTTTAATAAACAGTTGTGTTGTTTGTAAACGAAGCATCTATCTCTGACTCAACTGCTTCCACATGTCGTTGATTGTTACCGCTCGGCAGTCCAAACGGCAAGGGAGACGATGACGATATATATCACATATTACCGTTCATTGAGTTTTTTTTTATTTCTCCCACCCCTCGGCCTCCACACAAACATTGGGCAGGCATCAACTTGGGAATATTTTTACCGTTTAACTGTCCTTATAAAATTAGGAGCTTGATAGAGTCATGTTCAGTTCCATTGTAGAAGAAAGTGTTTCTGGATGTTTCAAGATATTCGGAAAATGTAATAATTCTCATTCCCATAATAAATGTATGAACTCTGCCTAATCTCGAAAGGTTTCAGATCTCTCTTAGGATTTTTTTCTTTATCTTATACAGTATATTCGCAACAAATTTCACGAAAATGAATAATAAATTGATTATAATGTATTTTCAGAAATTTTTAAAAGAAATTCTTCTTTAAAGTTATATAAAGATTGGGTTTCGCGGCAATCAACATAAAATGAAAACCACGTCAAAGTAAAAAATATCACAAAATATTATTAATATAAACAGAAAAGACTGTAAAAATGATAAAACATCAATAGTTATATTATTTTCTTTGCCTTATTATTAATTTGTTAACAACTTTTGAAAATAGAATTTCGTTAATTTAAAATGATTTTGTAATTAAGTTTGAAGTCTATTTGTAATCGTTCTAAAGAATATACAATAAAGTTTAAAAATAATAATAAATATATTTATTATAAATATATTTATTATATATTAATATANAATAAGAATTAGAGTGAGTTATCGGAGTATTGACCATCTTTGCTTTTTAAAATCTTATAAAAGTTTGCAATATTTTGTATTATATTTTATTTAAAAAACGAAAATTACCTTCTAAATTAGAAGTTCATTTTTTTAATTTTTAACTCAATTCAAAACATTTTTTTTGTTGTTGTTGTATGCAGTTTCCAGCAAACTTTAATTAATTTTTTTCTATTTGTGAAAATTTCTACGTTATTTAAAGGTAATTTTTATTATAGGCCTATAGACCTAACACAGCATTATTAATATGATTTTGGAGGTTACAAAACTTTAAAATTACTTTAAAAAATGGAAAATAATTATATCATTTGATTTCAAGATATTTTGTATACCTTAAAAATAATTAATTCTATCCCGGGATTTCCCGGGATCCCGGGAAACAGTTCACTTTTATCCCGGGACAAGCAAAATACCGGGAAATGAGAAACCCTACTTGTGGGTGATCGCTATACGACCGAAGGGCCGGCCTTACAGAATGACCTAATCGCGCGCGGGGAAAGAATGCCTTCCAGGAGGACTTTTATGGGAAACTGGCCCCTATTCAGGCGTCATCGACATGGAAAAACCCGAAAACTTCCATGCTGCCAGCCCGTCCGAGCGAGGCGCAAACCCACGACTGAACTTCCAGTGTTCAGGGTCTAGTCAACGTAAGTGCGGGGACGAAGACCGCTCGGCTACTGGTGGGCTGATAATTCTTTTAAAATCGAAGAATTGAATGATTTTCTGCATGAAATTTACGCAGACATCCACCAGTTTGTCAATTTCATGCACTTGCAATCTTGTATTTTTTTAATTTTATGTTTTGTTATATGATAATATTTGATTAATTGCTTAAATTAGTTCCTACAAATGACCAAATTTAGACTTGAAATTTTTCTGTTCCTAAAACCGTTTAAACAAGCATCTTGCATGATTAGTTTGAAAATATTCCTTTAAGTTAAGAAAGAATATACAATAAAGTTAAAAATAATAATAATAAATATATTTATTATTATTATTTTTAACTTTATTGTATATTCTTTCTTAACTTAAAGGAATATTTTCAAACTAATCATGCAAGATGCTTGTTTAAACGGTTTTAGGAACAGAAAAATTTCAAGTCTAAATTTGGTCATTTGTAGGAACTAATTTAAGCAATTAATCAAATATTATCATATAACAAAACATAAAATTAAAAAAATACAAGATTGCAAGTGCATGAAATTGACAAACTGGTGGATGTCTGCGTAAATTTCATGCAGAAAATCATTCAATTCTTCGATTTTAAAAGAATTATCAGCCCACCAGTAGCCGAGCGGTCTTCGTCCCCGCACTTACGTTGACTAGACCCTGAACACTGGAAGTTCAGTCGTGGGTTTGCGCCTCGCTCGGACGGGCTGGCAGCATGGAAGTTTTCGGGTTTTTCCATGTCGATGACGCCTGAATAGGGGCCAGTTTCCCATAAAAGTCCTCCTGGAAGGCATTCTTTCCCCGCGCGCGATTAGGTCATTCTGTAAGGCCGGCCCTTCGGTCGTATAGCGATCACCCACAAGTAGGGTTTCTCATTTCCCGGTATTTTGCTTGTCCCGGGATAAAAGTGAACTGTTTCCCGGGATCCCGGGAAATCCCGGGATAGAATTAATTATTTTTAAGGTATACAAAATATCTTGAAATCAAATGATATAATTATTTTCCATTTTTTAAAGTAATTTTAAAGTTTTGTAACCTCCAAAATCATATTAATAATGCTGTGTTAGGTCTATAGGCCTATAATAAAAATTACCTTTAAATAACGTAGAAATTTTCACAAATAGAAAAAAATTAATTAAAGTTTGCTGGAAACTGCATACAACAACAAC